TTTAGGACAACTTCACTCAGAGCGTTTTGTCATTCGAGCGCGAATTGTTTTGTTTACAGTGACTTGAAAAATTCATCTCGGTCAAAAAATGGAATTGTCCCGTGAAAATTTTCGTGCGATGAAAATTTTGAAATTGAAACATCCCCCGTACAGTCCTGATTTAGCACCCAATGACTTCTTCTTATTCCCTCACATCAAAAAAAAAATGCGTGGACAACGATTTTCAACACCTGAAGAAGCAGTCGATGCGTTCAAAAACCATGTTTTGGAGGTGTCTCAATCGGAGTGGAAAAAGTGCTACGAAAATTGGTTTCAGCGCATGCAAAAGTGTATTGATCTTCATGGGGAATATTTTGAAAAACAATAAAACCATTTCCAATGATAAATGTTTGTTTTTTATTGCTAGACCCGAAATATAAATAGTGACCCTCGTATATAAAAATTATATAGTAAAGTAAAACCTACGCGTTAAAGTCTGGGCGCGTTTCATGGCGCTTATTTTGATTTAAATTTTTTATTATTTTTTTTTTACTAATATCTAGCTTTTTTTTTTAGATATGTTTGTAAATACTACGAGTATAACAATACATATGGGTATGCATATAATCGTGATTTATATTTGTAAGTTACATACATCAATAACAATATGTAGGTTAAAAAATTTATACTTACATACATACATAGTTACATTGTGATTCTTATCTACAATATAATAAAAAATTGTCATGTTTTTTTTTTAAATTTAATTAAAGGAATATAGAAAAAAAAATAATTTTTGTTAAATTTCCATATTTAATGTTTTAAAGTGGACGTGTAATTGACTATTCAAAAAAAAAAAACAATTTAAATATTTTTAATACAATTTTGTTAGTGCAAATATTTTAGTGCAATTTTGAATATTTAAATTTTAATTATAAATTTTATTTGCTTTCATATAAATTTAAATACTGCACCTATTTTGCCCTTAAGATTATTAAAAGTTGTGACTGTTAATTATGTTAAACCTATTTTGTAGATTTAATCATATTTTATATTTAGTATTGTATATTAAATTCTACCATAAAGGTGATAAATTTTAATTCTACTGGAAAATCTATTTAAATTTTAGAATATTTATTTTTTAAATCAAATACTTGTATACCTATCCATTATTTCCGAATTTTAATTGTTATATAATAATTTTATAATAATGTTACCATGTAGTCATAAAAGTGTACTCGTATTTCTGTATAGAAAGCATTTAACAATTAACTTTTATTACGGAAAGTCTCGAAACTTATATCGAAATTTATAATAATAATCGAAATATAAAAATATCTAATATTAATAATAATCGAAATATTAAAAAAAAACAATAATCGAAATCTTCTTAATGTCCTACCACTGGAGACATAGTTAATGAATGATATGTTGAGTAATTATTAATTACAAATGTGACTGTACTGTTTTATAGTATATTACATACTTATTACATATTATACATAGTATAAGTATATAACACATTTAATGAAAAATCAATATATTTCAATATTTTTATTGATATTTTTGACATAAAATTTTAAATTTAATTGGAATTCCTGTTATTAATATTTCTGTTTTGACAAATAAATAAATATAGAAAAAAAAGCATAATAAGACAAACTTTCATGTCCCTTTAATTGCCATAAAAAATATTTTGGCAAGATATTAGAAATCTTCTGCTGAAATATATTTTAAAAATTTTATTTTTTACTTAATTTTGACGTAAATGACAAATTTTTCTAAAATCTGGTTTCGTAATTTTATTTCCACATTTAAACATTTTTTCAATAAAAATAATAAATTTTATATTAAACTTCATGTTGTTATACCAAATATATTTTACCATATTCTTAAAATAGCAATGCAATTACTTTAAAATGTTTTTTCTTTTAAGAAAATAAATTTAGAATTGTTATTAAAAAAATGAATATTGTAATGTAAAATTTGTAATAATAAAATTAAATTAAATTTTGTAATTCATTAATATTGTAGTTTGGATATTCCCATATATAAAAATTGCAGTTTTTGTACAAATAAAGTGCTGGTCACACTTGCAATTACGATTAATAATAAAAAAAAAATTGATTATTTATAAATTAAAAAAAAAAATTCCTTATTTTTCATACTTTTTTTTTTATAGAGCAAATTATTTATGGGAATATGAAAATTTTATATGGTTGTGGCCATTTAAGAAAATATGTACATAAAATATTCAAATATTTTCGTAATTTACTTGTAAATTTTATTGGTGACTAGCTTTTATTTATTTATGAACGCTATGGTGTACAACACTTTATATTTTTTAAAGCAACATGAACCCATAGTCTTAATTTAGATATATAGTTAAACAAAAAAGAAAAATCTTTTGAAAATTATTTAGTAAAGTTTTGTTGTCTACTAATAATGCCTTGCTTTACTTAAAGGCTTTTTATTACAAAAATGATTGGCGGGAATATTTTATAATTTTCATAATTAATATTATAGCTAAAAATATTTTCAATTTTCATCTTATATTGCGTGCACCTTACATTCTTCAATTAAAATTGTCACTAGTATACATAATTGAATTCCAGTTTTTTACGATACAATAAGAAACTGCTACAGTATCGATACCAGTAAAAATAACTTTACGTTATGTTATTTTTACTCATAAATACTCGTATGTAGGATGCAATAATGATAAGAAAAATTGTAATTATTGCTGTTTATTTAACCGAGAAAAATATTATAAAAAAAACGAGTCATCAATTATACTCCACCTACGTGGTGGACTAGTCTTCTTAGTTTTTTTTTTTTTTTGTTATTTGCACTTACTTTAAAATTTAACTTTCAAACAATTTTTATAATATTTTCTATTACGATCTGAAAATTTACATTTCTCTCAATTTTAAAATATTGTATTTTTTTTTTGTCATTATATAACAATTTTGTTTTATTTTTCCCTTCCTTGTATGTTTCTAAAAAAAATATTGCAGTTTCATTTAGGAAAAGTTAAAAATAGATGAAAATTTTACTTAAACAATTTATTTTTTGCATTTTCATTCCCAGTACATGAAAATAATCAGATTTTATATTTTTATATTGTATGAAAATTTTGTAGCATTTTAAATGGTGTGTACATCGCCCACATTTTTTAGTGCATCAAGTACGAGTACAAGTATTGAAGTAAAGTAAATTTTTTTTTTCTTTACTTTTCTATATTTTTACTTATCCTGCAGGCATTTCAGAAACTTGATTATTATATTAAAATATAAAAAACGGGAGACAGGCTGCAAAACTTCATTTTTTTAAATATATTAGAGTTGTCTTTTAACATTAAATGGTAAGGGGGAAACAGGAAAATAAGGAAAAGTGATTTCGTTCTTGAGATTTTATTTTTAAATTACAATTTAAAAATACCGAAGACCAATGTTTACAGTGATCTTCAAATATTTTATTAATTTCTTTTTCTTAATTTAAATTTTAATTAAATTTTGTTTGTTCTTTTTTATTTTTATTAATGCGCCTAATAATTTTAGTGTTTATATTATTAAACGCATTATATAAGAAATCATTTGTAGAAGTAGTCAATCACAACTTGAAAATCACAAATTTAGATTTATTCATCAATTTAACATTTACGTAGCTCTAAAAACAGTTTTACTTTTGCATTTAGTTCTATTCATTTTCAAATGAATTTTTCTGCGATAGATTGTTAGAAAGAGTAACAAACATAGCCAGATTGAATTAAAATTTGATTTTGAGCAACATTTTTCTGTAAAAAGGAAACTGCAGAAAAATTTTCTCTCTAAAAATCGTAACATATTTTATTATATGTTATGTATACCTATATTTCAAAATTTATTCATTTGGCAATCCCCGAATTTTATCTCGCAATAAACATACCTATCTTGTGTTCTCACTGTTTAACTTCAAAGACATACAACAAAACTAAAAACACTTTTGAAAGCAATTGAAATGTAATGTTTTAAGTAAGTGCATCAACATCGAATCACAAATGGTGTAAAGAACCAGAAATAAAACGAGAAAAATGTGTTTTTTTTTTGTTTTACATTTTAATATGCAGTGCTGCCATGATTAATAGATTATCTGAAATTTCAATATTTTTCTATATTCATTTACATCTCTTTAAGATTTTAATTTTATTTTTAAATTTATTTTTTAAGTTTTAAATTTATTTCAGGTATATTTTTTATACAAATAAACAATATTTTGCCGCCTGTAGTCTTTCTGTTTTTTTCACATTGTTATTTTTTTTTTTCTGGTTCTTGCTGTTTTTTACTATAGTTTTTTTGCTTTTTGTGTTCGGTTAATGTCATGGCTAAATTTAAGATTTTCAGAAATCGTTGATCTCGAAATTTTTCCGTATTTTCTGTTTTTTCTTTTTGAAAAATGCTTTTAAATATTTGAAATGAGTATTTTATATATAGGATTGTGGGTTGAAAAATTTTTATTTTTTTTTTTTAGTTTTTTAACAGTTGAAATTTCATTTTAAAGAGGAATTTTGTGTACATTGAGATTGAATTTTCACAATTAATAATATTAAATGAAATTGGTTTGAAATGAGTTTTTCTTTGTTCGAAATTCATTTTTGGTATATAAAACAGTATTTGTTGGAATCGTATTGAAAAGTGAAATTAGAAAAATAAAGTTTTCATATTATTTTCAATGAGATGTGAAGTCTATTGTCTCCTATTTTTTTATTCTTGTTGTCAATTATGAATGCTACTAGAGAAATTTAAAAAAAATTTGTGTAGTCAATTTTAAAAAAATTCTAATATTGTTTTTTTTTTGATCTGAAATAAATTTTTTCTTGACAATTTTTGTACAGGAACATTTTCGAATTTAGTTCTGCGATACTTGACGATGTATTAAAGAACAATATTTTAAAACGTTTAAAATTTTTCTTTTTAATTTTTAAATTAATTTATAAAATATTTTAAAATATTAATTTTCTTCTATATTTTATATTATTTTAGCGTATACCACCGCTAAGGATTGATGATTTAATAAATGATTTGCGTGATGGTACTAAACTTTTGGCATTACTAGAAGTATTATCCGGTGAAAAACTACCAGTTGAAAAGGGCAGAGTATTAAGGCGTCCACATTTTTTGAGCAATGCCAATACAGCTTTACAATTTTTAGCTAGTAAAAAAATTAAATTGGTTAATATTAATCCAGCCGATTTGGTGGATGGGAGACCACCAGTTGTATTAGGATTAATATGGACAATTATATTATATTTCCAAGTAAGTTTTATTCTAATAGGTAAATATTTAATAAATATTTTAGTATTATTAAATAAATACAATATAATTTTTAATAAATATTATTTTATTTTTAATATTTTAAATATTGAGTTCATTTCAGTTTCATTTTCAATTTATTTATTCATTTTTTAATTTGTATAAAAAAATATAAATATATATGTACATATATTATTTTAATTAATGATTTCTTTATATTTTTATATTTTTTATGTGTATTTAAATGTTATTTAATTTTTGTTTTTATCCGTACACTGTCAGTTACTCAATCGTATCATGATTTTTATATTAATTTTTCGCATAATTGTTTACTAAAATAACATTTAGCATAATGTATTTCTTAAATTTGGTATGGCTTGTAAATGCAATCAGATAATTCGATATAAAATCGGAAATATATATTTTTATTTTACAAATTTTATAAAAAAATTGTAACATAAAATATCGAAAATTTTATTGAGTTTTTCAATAAAAACAAATTTATATTAATTTTAAAGTTTCATTATGTTTTTTAAAGTTTATTAAAGTTTTATTAATAAATGTGAAAATTCTTAAAATATAATTTTTTCAAGTTAGAATAGGAAAATACATACATTGACATACATATTTTGTAAATATTTAAATTTTAAAATATCCTAGTTCTAAAATATTGAAAATTTGTCCCAATTATCTTTTAATAGTTAAATAAAACTAATAAAAAAACCTTTCTCCAAAATCAATGTTTATCAGTGTTAATTTCGATCATTTTTCATCCTTAAAAGCATACATGATGTAGTTTAGGGACACATATTTAAATATTAATGAGATCAAATCAATAACTAAGATTTACCCATGTTTATAATTTTTAACTTCTAATGTTCAGCTTGTTTTTTTTTTAACGTTGTATTGTTTTATTTATGAAACCTTCTAATTTGACCGAATTTCGAGACTTTAAACTGTTTCATTTTTAGTTCCTTTGTACATTTATAAATTAAGTTAGTAATTTGCAAATGTGTTATTACAATTAATACCTGATTTAAAATCATAATTTTTTAATTTTTGTTCATTAGTTTTACCCTTTTAATGTTTAATGTCTATCATGTCATTTGCATTTACCCAAATTTAAGTTTTGATTTTGTTTGAAATATTGAAAAGAAAATTATTAACAAAACTAAATTATTTTTGCTAATCTACTAACAAAATAACAAAAAAAAAATTTTTTTCGTTTTTTTTTTTATTAATCGCCTATTTAAATTATATGTTAAAATAACACAAAAAAAAAAACAATATAAAATTGAAGTTAACAAAAATACGTAGGAAACGTAGAAGAGTCAGTAGTTATAATGAATTAGACTCTTCAGGGGTAAGTGTGTAACTAAAAAAAAATTGATCATCATTTCATGAGTCATTCATTCATTTTAAAAAGGGGTCTTTGTTTTTTTTTTTTATTTAATTTACAATTTACTTTTTATTTAATTATTCTAATTTTTGTTTGTTATTACAAAAAAAAAAATGTAATTAAACTTAAATTTAATATATTTAAGATAAAATATATTAAAAAAAAAACAGAGAAATTTTTAGTGTTTTTGACCCGCTAGTATTTTCCGAATGAACAGAAATATTAGTAGCTTAAACTATTAATTTCTCTTTGTTTTTAATTACTTTTACATTTCTAATTCTTTTTTAAACCATTATTTTTGTAATATATAATTTTTCAGTTCATTATTATTTTTTATAATTTCATTTATTTTAGAATTTTTGTTTTACTTTATGTTTTTTTTATACTAAAAATTTCATAAATATTTCATCAAAAAAAATTTATATATATAGGTATGCATATTCAAATATCATTAATAAGTAATATTAAAATATTATCAATATAAATTTAAAATTCATATGAATTTTAATAATAATTGATTTTTAATATCAATGATAATTGTATTCCATCATCAAGATAAATTATTATGTGTACAAAATATAATTAATAATAAATATATATATTGTTATTATGATATCGTCGTTTTATTGTGTTGCAGATCGAAGAGAATAGCCGGGCACTTGAATATTTGGGTCACGGTTTAAGTGGATCGGTTAGTTCTCTTGATAGTGCATCACATGCTCCAAGTGATGTTAAAGCTGAAAAATGGAAACAAGGTGCCAGAAAAACATTATTACAATGGGTTACAAATGCACTGCCAAAGTAAGTATTGATAAAATGATTTCTAATAATAATATGAGCAATTACTTAATTATAATAATTACATATTATTAATTATTACATATTATAGTAAATGTTCTAATTTTACATAGTTATTTTGTGCTTTAGTTGGAAATAATATAAATATGTATTTCTTTTATATAACAGTGCACAATGCATGTTTGAATGTCAATCCAAAAATACGATAGAAAAATTTTATGACAACTTCCGTTTTCCTTTAGTGCATTTAATATTATTAATATAATAAATATAAAAAAGTTTTAAGATATTCTTTTATAGATTTTAAAATGTGCAAATATACAACAACAACCATATATTTTTGATGAAGGAGTCGATATGGAAAATAAATTTCGTTAAATTCTTTCTATGTTGTATGAAAGTGCTAAATTCAGTTTTTAGGAACAGAAATAAAAAATTGCTAGATTGCATACTTACAGGAGGACCATTAAAATTTTTTTGAACGGAAAGTATCGAGTATCGCATGGAAATAATCTTTCTGTTCTTTTTTGTGCTTTAGAAACAAGCTAAATATTTAGCCTAATAATATGCCATTGAAAATTGAAAAAATTTGAAAATTAAATTAAACATCTGTAAAGCTAAAATTTTTGATTTTGGAATTTTAGTTAAAATTTCCAAAGCAAAAATAATTTTTCTTGCTATTTAAAAATTTTTTAAAATGTATTTTCAAAAAATTTCTCGCAAAAAGGAAACACTTAATATTTTAAACAAGCAAACTCTATTATAATATGTAAATCAAAGGTAATATTAGCCACTTATACCGTGAAATGATTCTTGAGTTCCCGTCGCATCTGAAACATTTCATTACAACGACAATGGTATGCAATTTTCACTTTGGAGAAATTTGAAATTAGCTACTTGAAGGCCCATTTTTCTATAGTGTATTTAAAAAACCAACAGTGAAAATTTTTATTTATTATTATAAAAAAAAAATTCCAACAAAGTGTAGTCTAAAAAAATATACTTGCATACATACTTTCTGAATTTATTTTCTAACTTGTATCTTTATCTTAAAAATCTTTTATAATAAAGGGATATTCAAGTACGAGATTTTGGCGCCAGTTGGAGAGATGGTGTGGCATTTTTGGCTTTAATCGATGCAATCAAAGCTAATTTAATTAATTTAGCTGAATTAAAGAAATCAACGAATACAAATCGCCAACGTTTAGAAACAGCATTCGATGTTGCTGAAGCAAAATTAGGTATTGCAAAATTATTAGACGCCGAAGATGTTGATGTAGACAAGCCGGATGAAAAGAGTATTATGACATATGTAGCGCAATTCTTGCACAAGTATCCTGAACCAAAGGTATGAATTTTATATTCTGATTTTTATTTTTTTTTATTGTTTATTGCGGAATTGAGTATATTGAAAAGTTTAGATTTTTATTGATTCGTTTTTTTATATAAAACAAAACAAAAAATTCGGATTTAATTATTTATTTGTTCAGTTGTAAAATCAGTTTTTTATAAAATGTTTCAGTTGCCTTTATAGCGCACCATGAATCATTTAAACTTCATATTTTCATTTATATGAAATTTCTTTTTATTAGTTAATTAATTGGAATATTGCATTCATGAAAATTAAAAATTGAAAAAAAAATTATATAGAAAAGATTACCTACACAATTTCTTCATAGTTTAGTTAATTTTTAGTTTTTCGTTAATTCGTTAATTTAATGGGTTTTTTCTTTTAAAAATAAAATGTGAATCACAATAAAATGTGATTCAGGCTACAAAACAAAGTGGATTCAGACTACAAAACACTAACATGGAATGTTTTTTTTTCTTTTTTTTTCTACTTTCATGCACTTCAATCATTTTGACTGTATAACATCCTTGATAAAAAAATTCAAATATCCCTTAATAATCCTTCGCCATTATTCATTTCCTGCTTCAAAAAAAATATTGTACATGCAAACACATGTAAACACACAAAAAAAAAAATCAAAAATATAAAAACAGGGTTCTGGTCGTGAAGGAGTTGGAAGTCTCCAAGACGAAACAGAGGAATTGCGTAATTGGTTAAAAGAAAAGACAACATATTATGAACCAATGGTTCAAATGAATTCATTCCCGATGGATTTTGGGGAATATTTATTGGCACGTGCTGAAGTTGATGCTCGTCAATCAACATATAAAAAATTGAAAAATATTATTGAATCACCATCTGGATTCATGCAAATCAACAAACAATCCTGGGAAGAGATAGAACGTTTATGGAAATTATTGAATTATCAATTGTTATTATGGCTATGGTTACTTGACTCTGAACTACCTGGTGAGTTTGGAATTGTTGGCAAGTGGCTAGCCGAAGCTGAAAGATTATTAATGGACACTGATGTACCATCGGAAATGAATGAAGGAACAGCAACGATTATTAGTAGAAAGTTGGAAGAACATAAACAATTCTTTGCTGATCTTCCTAGGATTATTGAAATATTCGAAAATGCAAAACGATCACCATTAGCATCGAAAGTTCCATTGGAGCAATTAAAAACAATGGAAAAACGTTTATACGACGTTGAACCGCGTGCTGCTGAACGTCGTATTCGCTTAAAATTCTTAGAGCATAAATGTTGTTTAATTGCTTTCTTAAATTTAGTTGAAAGTAAAATGCGTATGTGGACATGCAAATATGGCTATGAAGAAACTTGCCAACAATTATTAGAACAATATAAAAATTTTGTATCACGTAATAAAATATTCCAAGAATTCCAAAAGGCATTAATTGATATGCAACAGGTTGTTGAGGAATATAAACGTGATGGCAATATTAGCCAACGTGAGTATAATGAAATTGATAAATTTATGCGTGAAACTGAAGAACGTTGGAAGCGTGTTTCAACTGAATTAAAATGCTGTCAAAATAGTTTGGAAGAAGTAATTACTTGTTGGGGAAGATGGAATGGAAATGAACCTGAGTTTGAAAAATGGCTTAATATTGCTGAACAAAAACTTCATGCCAGTGAAGATGAACGTTTAGAATTCTTTAAAGATATTGGTGTATGGCATGAAACCTACAAAAGTTTAAGTGATTCTGTTAATTATTTAATTGCATCTTGTGAAGATCAAATATCAAATGAATTAAGACAAAAATTCTCAATGATTTCGAATCGGTGGGAAAAAGTATTTGGCCAAACGAAACAATATATGCATGCTGGGGATATAATACGCTCGCGTAAAGAATTTAAATCTGGTATTGAAAAATTAAGTACATGGTTACGTCATGCTGAGCATGTACTGGATACACAACCATTAGGTTCAACAGAACATATTAAAAAATACGGTGAGGAATTACAAAAATTGGCAATGGAAATTGATGAATATGAAGAACTATTTAAAACAATTAGTCGTAATTTCCAAAGCTTAATACAAGATTTACCTAAAGATGAGATTGAAAAAATGATGACAACATTAAAGAATGAAAAAGAAGCTCTTATTAAAGTACGTTCTTTGATACCAATTAAACTTCATTTATTCCATCAACTTTTGATTCAACAAGAATCATTAGAAGCTGGACAAAAAGAAATTCATCAATGGTTAGATGAAGCTGAACAGTTACTTAGTACTCACAGTCTAGCCGGTGGCAGAGAACGTATTACTGAAACTTTGACTAAACATAAAACATTCTTTTCACGTACTTTATACTATCGTTCGATGGTTGAAAGTAAAAATAAAGTCTATCAGAACATGTTGAAATCAATTGAATCTGATAAAACAATTGATACAACAGAATGTACACAAAAAATGCAACAATTAAATGATCGTTTCAATTATGTAACACAACAAGCTCAACAATGGGAACAAAAATTAAGTGAAGCTGCTACATCGTGGAATCATTTCAAACAAAGCGAACAAACTGTAACTGAATGGATTAGTAAAGCTGAAACATTCTTAATTGAACGTCATACTGAAACAAAAACAACAATTGAAACTCAAAAAATGTTCTTTGAACACGTCAATCAGCGTTGGATGCATGATCTTGTTGATCAAGCACAAAATCTACTTAAAGTTGTACCACATGCTGAACAGCAACCAATTGTTGAAAGTGTTGAAAAATTACAAAAGAAATGGCGTGATGTATTAGGACAAGCACCAACACATTTAATGAAATTAGAATTCCGCCTAGATGAAACTACATTCTACTCATATATTAAAGAAGTTGAAAAAGAAATTAATTTAGAACAGATGGCATTAAATCGTAATGAAGATGTCGACTCAATATTAAACCGAAATGAGAATTTCTTTAGAAATCAGGGAACTGTAATGAAAATTGAAAAGTGTCTTCAAAATATGAAACGTTTAAGTGATGTTTATCAAACACAACAACCTAATGATACTAGCTTGAATGAAGCATACCACAATGCCGAAAAACAATGGGAGGATATGACTGAACGTATTGAAGAAATGAGAAAAACTTTACAACAAATTCCTGCGAAATGGGACGATTATCATAAGAAATTCAGTGAAATGGTTCAATGGATGGATCATGTTGATGAAAGTTTGAAGGGTATTGTAAAAGAAGTTAATAGTATGGAAGAGTTTGAAAGAGAAAAAGTTATATTCCAGGTGAGAAACAACTTTTTTTAGATATATAAGTATAAAAATATTTGTGTTTTCTTTTTTTTTATGTTTGTTTTGTAACTTTAATTAAATTAACAAAACAAGAAAATGCTTTAGTTGGCTTAAATTTATTAATTTTGTAAATACACAAAATTTTATAATTTTATGCTTTTGAGCGGTCCCCAATATTTAGAAAATAATTTTCCAAAGCATGTCCAAAAAAATTTCGTTGTTGAAAGTTATTTCTGTTACTTTAAAATAACTGAAAGAAATCAGTCCCAAATGACCAGCAATCCAAACGAGGTACCTCTTATTTTCAATTATCAAGTAAAGCATTTTCTGGAAAATAAATTTGACTTTTACTTTGTAAAATTAATCAAAAGTTTAGCATAATTTAACATAATAATACATATAAATTTTTCTTTAATGCTTACACAAAATTAAAAATTAAAAAAATCCCAGCTGCGGGAGCTAGTGGTAATTTCTAATTTCTTTTTCATAACTTATTTGTTATTATAGTATTGGTTTTTCTAATTGCGTTTTTTTTTTTTAATTTTTCACTTGAAAAAAATGCAGAAAATATGTCAAGATGCTGACAATAAACGTGAAGACATGAAATGGTTAGTCAAAACTTTAGATTCTCTGTTATCATATGCCACTGAGGATGAAGCCAATATTGAACAGAAGAAATTGGAAGCATTAATAGCACGATATAAGAATTTAATACCAACAATTGAAATTACAATGGTTAAGACAGAAGTCTTCTCAAAATGTTACACATATCGACGTGAAGTACATGAGGTTGTTGGCTTGTTAACAAGAGTTCGTGATCAAACAGCTAATGCACCAAAACCAGATAGCCTTGATCGTGTCAATAAAATGATACAAGAACAACAATATGCTATTAATCAATTAGATCATCAAAGACCACATATTATGTCAATGTTACAACGTGGTCGTGATCTAAGTAAAGATGTTCATGCACCATCATTTGTTAATTCTGAGGTTAAAACTCTTGAAACCGGTTGGAATGATACATATTCTGAAACAGTTGATAAATTGAAAACTTTAAAAGGAACACAAAATGTTTGGAATGAATTTGTTGATCAAAAGAATGATATATGTCATTTATTACAAACAGCTGAAACTGAATTACGTGCTTTGACACCATTGCAAACTGATCCAAAGAATGTTCATCAAGATTTAGTAGCTAAACGTGATTTAAATGCAAATTTACAAAAAGCCTCACATACAATGTTGCCGAAATTACATACAATATGTGAAGATTTAAAACCATTGGCAGCACCAGAAAAGGCACCAATTTTAGAAAAAGAAGTAACCGAAGTAGAAAAACAATTCTTCAATACTGTTGAACATGTTAAAGATCGTGTTGGTTATTTAGAAGATTATAGTGCTAAATGGAATAATTATAAGGGAAAACTATCTGATCTTCAAGAATGGTCAAATAAGAATGCACCCAAAATGATTGAAGCATTACAATCACAAGAATTGACACCAGAGGAACGTGTTGTTAAAACAAATACATTGAAAGCTGTGCTTTCTGAAAAAATGAAAGTATTAGATATGTTAGGTTCTGATGCAGCTGATTTAGCACCAAAAGAAGGTAATATTGCTGAAGCGAAACGTTTGAAGGGTGAAATATTTAAATTGCAAGAAGTGTTAAGTGCTATAAATCGTAATGTTAATCACCAACAACAAGCTGTTCAAGAAGATCTTGTTAGTTGGCAAAAATATCAAGCTGGAATACAAGAGATAAAACCTTTAGTTGAGCAATGCGAAATTAAGGTAAGTCATTTTTTTAATGCTAATTTTTTTTATTTTTCACCTTTTATATTATATAAGAGCCGAATTATAAAAAAACATTCAGAAATCAATTTTTTGATAATTCGATAATAACATATACGTTGCATTACAGAAAACCTTTTGTAATGGAACATTTCTTAAATATTTCAATTATTGCACTAAACTGAACGTTAAATCGCGTTGTTTTACTTTAAGAAGATCAATTACAATTTCCTATATAAAATTAAAAGTCTTAATTTTACCGTAAGTCTGTTGATAGAAAATAAATATTTGTCTGTTAAATAATGATCACGTTTCCTTAAAAATTTGCTGATATAAGTACATATCTTAAGCTGTATATAAATTACAAAGTCGCAGCACCTAAGTTTTAAAATGTTAAAATCAAGTATGTATTAATAGTAATTTTCAGATAATTTGAAGTGTTTGATAAGAATCATATACGCTGTATAACTAATACAATTTAAATTGTGACTAGGTACGAAATTTTCAAACTTTGAATATTTTTGCTTATACGTATTTTGATAATCTGCAACTCGTTGACGAGCATTGATAAGGCAACTTATTAACAGTGTTTGTAGAACTTTGTAATTAAACTTAAATAATAATTGCAATACTTAATTAAAGTATCATAATTTAATCCAAATTTCTTATTTGTTAAAGTAGGTAGACTCATCGGTTTAATAAAGATTAATTTTTCAACAAAAGAATCGATAAGATTTCAACAAAAATTTGTGACAATTTCTATAATTTTCTACAATTTTCGTCTAGCAAATCAAAATGAAAATTCCTTTCCAGCAAAACAATTTTTTCTATATAATCGGAGTTCTTATTTTCTTTTTCATATTTCAACCTGAATCCAAGTTGATCATTTTTTGAAGTAAATCGTTTGTTATTTGATTTTTGGAAATTTAAAATTATTATATACAAATGTATTTATTATATTAAAATTCCCTGAATTGATTTTATTAATTAGTTCTTTTTTTTAATAATACGTAACGAGAAACAAATAAACGGGCATCTGTTAAATTTTTATACTCCTTCAACTAGATATTTAATTATGATTTTATAATTCACCGGTTTTTTATAATAACAAACGTTTTCCTAAAACTTGTATTTAGTATACTTAATAATAAACTGTACTTTCGCCATGGATTTCAGTAAAGACTTGAAAAATAAAAACAAAAAAGGTTTTAATGCTCCAATTTATTGCAATAAATTTTTAAAAACAAAAATTATTGGCATACAAATGCAATAATCACTTAAATCCAACTAAAATGTTGAATTTAATTTAAATTTTTATAAAATAAAATGTAAACAGAACAAAATTGACAATATTTTCAAAAAAAAAAACAAAATAAGAAGGTATCATTTATATAAAGATTTTCTTTGAATAAATTAGAATTTCTCAATTTTCCATTAAATCTTTACACAAACTTAGTTCCACATGTTTAAATCCACTATTTTTTTTAGTCATGTTAAAGAAATCCATCATACATTCGTTCGGGAAAACTCTATAATTTGTTCCATCGAATCCACATTGTGGGTTGTAAATAGATGGGCACATCATCATTCTTTCACGGGTGGCAACATTAGTTTCTTGTTTATTTTCACATTCAGCCATTAATGTTGATACGAAATGTTCATTATTGCGACAATTATAAACTTGCATTTCGCATGGATTAGCAAAATAATGATGAGTTTTACCATTAGAGCCGCATGTTGGAAGGAAAATAAATGGACAAACTGATGGGCAGTCTTTTTTTATTATTTCTTTCATTGATTTAATAGTCTTTGGTTTTTTGACATCACAAACGGACATTGATACTATGTTCCATTCATGTCCATCTCGGCAGTGTTCGTTTTCCATAACACATTTATTAGAGAAAATTTTATGATTTTCGCCATCAAAACCGCAAACTGGCTTATACATTCTGTTACATGGTTTTTCACAGTTGTGTTTCTCTTCAGAAGCGAATTCAATACATTCGGTAAAAGGTGTTACAAACCATTCTAAATTTTAAAGAAACAATCAAAATAATGACAACATTTTCTTATATTTTAAATCTAATATACCTTTTCCATCTTTGCAATGAGCATTTTCTAAAGCACATTTGTTTGGGAAAACTTCATGTTTTAATCCATTGAATCCACAAGTAGGCATATATTCAAATGTACATGGTTTTTCACATAATACTTTTGTTGTGGTGGCAACTAGTTCTGGTTGGCATTGTTCCATGCGTGCTTGAAGCCATACTTTTCCATCGTGGCAGTGTTCATTTTCCATTAAACATTTGTTGCTAAAAACCTTGAGTTTATTTCCGTTTGTTCCACATACTGGATTATACTCGCGTGTGCATGGTTTTTCACAACCAGTGTTGAATGCAGCTGGGACTAGTTCAGGTTGGCATTCATTCATACGAGTTTGAACCCATATCTTGTGGTCATTACAATATTCGTTTTCCATAACACATTTATTTCCAAAAACTTTAGTTTGTTCTCCATTTGTTCCACAAACAGGCATATACTCAAATGTACATGGTTTTTCACAACGAGTGTTGATTGCAATTGAAATTGGTTCTGGTTGGCATTCATTCATACGAGTTTGTACCCATACCTTGTGGTCATTGCAATGTTCATTTTCCATAACGCATTTGTTTCCAAAAAGTTTAGTTTGTTCTCCATTTGTTCCACAAACAGGCATATACTCAAATGTGCATGGTTTTTCACAACGACTGTTGATTGCAATTGGAATTGGTTCTGTTTGACATTCATTCATACGAGTTTGTACCCATGTCTTGTGGTCATTGCAATGTTCATTTTCCATAACGCATTTGTTTCCAAAAAGTTTAGTTTGTTCTCCATTTGTTCCACAAACAGGCATATACTCAAATGTACATGGTTTTTCACAAGCAACTTTAAATTCTGACAAAATTGGTTCTTGGGATTCTTGTTCACATTGATCCATACGTGTTTGTGTCCATATTTTATTATCTTTGCAGTGTTCATTTTCCATAACACATTTGTTTCCAAAAACTTTGGTTAGTTCGCCATTTGTTCCACAAACTGGCACATAGTCAAACGTACAAGGTTTTTCACAATCAATATCTTCAATTACACGAGTCGATTCTGAGCCACAATTTGACATGCGTGTTTCTGTCCACAATTTATTGTCATTGCAATGTTCATTTTTCAATGCACATTCATTGCTGAAAACCTTGAATCTTTTTCCGTCTGTTCCGCAAACTGGAAAATATTCTCTTGTGCATGGTTTTTCACAAACACTGTCAGTTGGTGTTGCCAATTTAGGAAGAAATACACAAGCAGTAAATGGTGCTGGTTTGAAGTGTTTATTTGTTCCACATTCAGCATTATGCATATCACAAACGTTGTTAAACAATTCATAATGTTCCCCATCAAAAGTTGCACAGATAGGTGAATACTCAGTACCACATGGACGAACACAGTCAGCAATATCTTTTGATACTTCATTAATTTGTTGTGGAACTTCACAGCTACCAAAATTTGCAACGGACCATGTTTTGCCATCATCGCAATGTGCATTATTCATGTCACATAAATTTCCAAAAGTTTGATATTTTTCACCATTAAAACCACATACTGGATTATATTCAAATGTACATGGTTTATAACAGTTTCTGTTATTGAATTCATCAGCTGCTATAGATAAGCATGGTTCTAAAGATTTAGTTTGAGTCCATACTGCAATAATATATAAAACAAATATTTTTAATATTACACTTATAAAATTTAAATGTAAAATAGAAAAATATACTTACGGAACTCATGTTCACAGTTGAAAACATCCATCATACACGGGTTATCGAATAAACGATATTCCTTACCATTTGTGGCACAAACTTGATTAAATTCAAGTGTGCATGCTTTTGGACAATCACGAGCCGAAACTGTGAAAGTACCGAAAGCTAACAAAATAGCTACAGCGACTAAAGATTTGCCTGAATACATGTTGATTGATTTGTCAAACACAAGGGATTTTCTTTCAAAGCAAAACTGCTACTGACTTTGTTTTCTCACTGGGATGTGTGAACTTGAAACATTTGTCACAACTATTCTGATTTATGCAAACGCAAAGTTTTTTATAGTAAATTTTCAACCTATTGAAATTGTTTATCGTCCACCCAATATTTTCAACTTTGAAATCAAGACACTTACTGATAATAAATAATCAAAGTAGTCAATAGCAATTGAAAATTTGTATGGGTACTTCAAAATGTTTTGATTTATTTTACATATTTTTATTTTTTACAAATTATTTTATATTTTATTTTATGGCAATATTGTATAATAATTATTTTATAACAATTCATATTGGATTAGATATATTGTGTATTAATATTTCGACAAGGGATCGTTTAAAATACATATTAGTAATTCGTAATCAAAAGGCGTATTTCGATTGGAAAGTTTTAGGGGTTTAATTTAACTTAAGTTAAAAATTGAAAACTTATACATGCATATGTACATACATATGTTCATATCTAAGTACTTCCAACACATACACTGACAAATTTCAGTTTTATAGTGTACGATTGGTCTGCGCAATTTTAATGTACCAGAACACAATTGGTTAATGAACATCAATATTTACATGATCTTAAAAATTATTTCTTAGGAGATTTATTGAATATCATCTAGCATACGTTATGCTACCTATTTTAGAAAATACCAATAAGAACTAAAAATCATAATAAGCACTCGGTAAGGTTTTAAACACTTTAAAAGAAAGCACTTAAGTACTTTGTCAAAAGTTTTCCTTCGAAAGAACTCATGAAAACCACATTGGAACCCCTGTGATACTAAAAAATTTTGTACAAGTTGGAAATTTTGATAAATTTAAACAGCCCTATCATAAATTCTCCTCGTAGAATTCTACGAATTACGAAATTAGCCACAGCCTAGATTTTTAAATGATCACAAATTCCTTTCGATTATGAATCAGCAATGTCAGCACAATTTTTCGGAGTGTCAAAATCAGTATTTTATTTCAACTGTTAAATGTTTATTTATGTTTTTTGTTGCTATTTGAGTAAACAACTTTCATAAAAAAGGATATTTTTTTATGAACGGAGTTTTGCAGTTTTTTTTTAATTTCCGTGACTTTAACAATGCTTTATAAAAAGTTTAATTACAATATTAATACGATTGTACTACCGTCTCAGAGCTTTCAATACCTTTTTATTGCTGAAAATATATGCTAGCTTATTTAATTGGTTATTTCTGGCAAGATTTATATACATTTATAAGAAAAGTGTGCTCGACTTTTTCGATACCCGATTTACTTTTATTTTACGTATCCACTACGTATAGAACACATTTAGGAAAAGTGTACAATGTCAAGAGCTTTTATTATATTTTTTGGAATGTGATACTTATTAAAGTTTACGTTGTAAGCGCATTATTGAAGTCACGATTTTTGAGTGTTTTTAAGAAGGTAAAAATAATATTTTTAACAAAAACGAATTCATACCCATTCATGGTAGCTGTGTTGAAAGAACTCAAATTTAAACAAAAATATTGAAAACTTGAAAATTTCAAATAACCATTTTGCTTAAATTGCTTGTTACGTGTGATTTTTTCTTTCGTAGACTTTTTGGGGTTATTTTTACTACGAACGTAATTTATGATTACTCTATTACAAATATTCGTAGTAGGATTTTAGTAATTCGAAGTTGAGAATATAAAATTCGTAATTTTCCGAATTACGGAGCTACGAACGAAATTCGTGATAGGATTGAAAGACTTATTAGAATTTAGATAACTAAATCCCCCCCTTTAAAATGTAATTCAATACGCTTTTCATACAAAATTATGCTGACCTGCTTCAATTTAACAGTCTCAAGTGAAACAAAATAATAATATTATTGTAGAAAATAAGTGTTTTCTTGAACTTTAAGTAGAGACAAAAAATCGGTCATTTCGTTACAAACTAAAAATTTGTTTCCAAGTAAAATGATATTTAATAAATGTAAAATTTTGTTATTCTTTATTTATTGTTGTTTCAAAAACATATTAATAACATTATTTTCCTAACCAAGAAAAATTTTCCAAAACAACTGTAATTACTGAATAAATTTAATATTTTAGTTTTTATTGGAGCAAAAAAATATTTTTAAAACTCGTTGAAATAGACCCTGAGTTTGGTAAGGTCTGAATGTTTTCCTAGATGTACATACTTATGCATAGTGGTGTCTATCTATCTATCTATCTATCTACTGAAAAATTCATTAAGCTAGATCGACTATCTAGTTACGAGTTTTTCATATAACTGGAATCAATTTATTAAAATTTCTAAATTTTCATACAACAAACACAGAAAATTCAGAACCAAAAATAACTCGTTTAATTGAGGGTTAAAACAATTCAAACCAAATTGCAATTTCTTATAATCAAAAATTATGATGCCTTACCTGTTCCGCAAAAAATAATAAATTTTCTACAAATTTCATTGAAAATTAAAGAGGGACGCCTAAAACCTTCACATTTTTTTTTTTTTGGATGAGCTAATTTTGAAGTATTTGGTCAACCTAAATAAACAGGTCCAATAAGATTTTGTAATATTCTTGAAAACAAAAAAATTCTTCAAAAATATCCCAAATTTTGAATTTTTTATTTGCCATACTCGAGTTCGTAGACTCCTTTTTTTAAATTTAAATTGTTGACGTTGTACTTAAAGTCCAACATATAGTAAGGTAAAAGTAAATATTGGAAACTAAATTTATATTGTAGAGAGTTTTATTTGATTTCCGTAAAATTAACAAAGGAATAAAATTCGGAATGTATTCAGACTAAACCCATCACATTTTCAATTTGAGTAAGATGAACAAAAATATTATCCAGGAAATTCTTTGAACTTTAGGTGATATACGAGTATTTCAAAAAATCGAAAATCATAACTTTACGAAACTGCAAAGTTTGTTGAAGATCATCAAATCAATTTTTCATTATAAGGTTTCTTAATTTTCTTAATTGAGTCTTAGTGAGGTTATTATTTACTTTTTTGTTTTTGTTCATAAGCTAATTAATTTTTAATAAAAGGAAAAACGTATATGCTTTTTATATTTGATTTATTGAATTTAAAAATTTTAATTTCGACCAAATCCAACTAAAATGTTGAATTCAATCTGTTAACCGAAATCATTTGTCCTTGGTAATCGGAACAAGTACAACAATATAACTGAAGTTCTGTTACTTTAGAAGTTTAATAAGCTTTCGCAGAAACTTAATTCGACATGTACGAAAGTTGCTGCTTTGTGGGAGCGGTTGTAGCCATTCATCATACATTCATTAGCAAAAACTTTGTAGTTAACACCATCAAATCCGCACTCTGGAGCATAATTATCAGGGCAAGCAAAAACTTCTCCATCAGCAGGTAATTCTTCAATTTGAATATCTCCACATTCACCTTTAAATTGTTCAATGAAATGTTCACCTCTTTGACAATTTGAGGCTTTCAATTGACATTCACTAGCAAAAGTTTGGAAAGTTTTGCCATTGCTAGCACAAACTGGTGCATAAATATATGGGCAAATCATTGGGCAATCAGCTTTCGGTGCAACAGGAACGGCTTTTGTTTCACATTGGCCGGCAAAAGTTTTAACAAAGTGCTCATCATTTTCACAATTAAATGCTTGTAATTGGCATTCATTGCTAAATGTTTGTTCAGTTTTTCCGTTGAAAGCACATACTGGAGCATAGATTGCTGGGCAGACTTTGAGGCAATTTTTCTTTGGTTCAGCAACTGGAACTGCACATTCACCCATGAATGTTGCAACAAAGTGTTCGTTGTTTTGGCAATTGAAGGCCTGTAATTCACATTCATTGCTGAATGTATGTTGAGTTTTCCCATTGAAAGCACAAATTGGAAGATAATTCAATGGACAGATCATTGGGCAATCTTTTTTTGGGGAAACAGATAATGGAACTGGATTTTCACATAAAGAGAATGGAATTTGTTTCCAGTTATGACCGTCACATTTGTGTTCTCCTTCTAACAAGCACAAATTATCAAAAACTTTATAAGTTTGTCCATCAGATCCGCATACTGGAGCATAGATGCGTGGGCATATTACCACACAATCTTCTTTTATTTCTTTTGGTCCTTCACATAGTTCCATAGCAGCGACTTTCCATTCATGATTGTCGAGACAGTCAAAATTTTTCATTTCACATTCATTATTGAAGATTTTATATTGTTGTCCGTTAGTTCCACAAACTGGTTTGTACATTTTATTACAAGGTCTTGCACAGTTGTGTGTCTTTTCTTCATCTACAGATGCAAATTCAATACATTCTGTGAAAGGTGTTGCGGACCATTCTGTAAAGCAAAAAAGTGTTCAATAAATTTTAAACATTTAAAACCTAACTTTTCTTAACTTACTCTTTCCATCTTTACAATGAGCATTTTCTAAACCACACATATTTGGGAAAACTTCATGAGTAAATCCATTGAATCCACAAACTGGGTTATATTCAAAAGTGCATGGTTTTTCACATTCGGTATTTAATGCAATTTGGGTTGGTTCAGTTTTGCATTCATCCATACGTGTTTGTTGCCAGATTTTATTGTCATTGCAATGTTCATTGTTTAACATGCAGGGGTTTGCGAATACTTTGCTTTCTTCACCATTAGTTCCACAAACTGGATTGTATTCTCTAGTGCATGGCTTTTCACAGTTTTTGAAAGCAGCTGGGTGTGGCACACAGTTGAAAAGACTTGCTTCAACAAAATGTTTATCGGTTCCACATTCAGCGTTATGCATATCACAGATGTTACTGAAGAAACGGTAATGTTTACCATCAAAGGCACAAATTGGATTATATTCCATTGTGCATGGTCTAACACAGTCATCAATATCTGCAGAGACGGCACGTGTGTCATCTAAGCATGGAGCTAAAGATTTTGTTTGAGTCCATACTAAAATATATAAGAAAAAAAAATTAAATCTTTCATAACATTTGTCAGAAAGAAGAAAAAAATATACTTACAGAACTCATGTTCACAGTTGAAAACATCCATCATACACGGATTATCGAATAAACGATATTCCTTACCATTTGTGGCACAAACTTGATTAAATTCAAGTGTGCATGCTTTTGGACAATCACGAGCCGAAACTGTGAAAGTACCGAAAGCTAACAAAATAGCTACAGCGACTAAAGATTTGCCTGAATACATGTTGATTGATTAGTCAAACACAAGGGATTTTCTTTCAAAGCAAAACTGCTACTGATTTTGTTTTTCACTGGGATGTGTGAACTTGACACATTTGTCACAACTATGGTGTAGTCAACTCTCATCATGATATTTATACTAAAATTTTTTTTCTGGAAACCATATTTCTTTTTCTTGTTTTCCTTTTGCACTTATTCTCAATTGATAAGAATATGGGTAAGATAATAGTCCTTAACAAGTTATCTATATTAATCGGTAGTTACAAAATAAGTGCCATTTAAATACATGAAGAATTATGCTTGTTTGATAATTTGTAGTCTTTTTTTTTTCAAATTAATTTTTTAGTTTAGTCGATAAGATTACAACAAAAATCAGAGTTACTTATTATTTTTTGTTTTGTTATTTGATTAAAAAGCGATTAGATACATTGATTGATGTGATTAAATTTGAAATCTTCAAGTGATCAAGTGCTTAATGGACAATTATACAATGTATTTACCTTAGGGTTATGTTTTTGAAATGAGTGTCTGCTCGATTATAAACTATACAAATTTGCAAAATCATTATATTGTAAAAATTAAAAACACAATTGATTTCTGAATGTAAAAATTTTCAGGTTTAAAAAAAATTTAAGAATTCTTAGATGCTTTTCAATGCATTTTTATATACTACATAAATACGAGTATATATATTATATATATATTTATTTATTGTTTGTCCCTTTTTTCGGTTATAGGTTAATACATCCTACCCTAAACCAACTACCCTACAAGAAGCTTTACAATTAAAACAAACAGCAAAACAATTTGAAATGCAATGTCAGGAGCAATTAGACAGACTCCAAGACATTTCCGCATTATCCCATCAAATGTTATGTAAAACTAATGCACCTGATGAATTAGATGCGTTACATTCCCGTTGGATGGCAGTATCTGAAAATGCAAAACAACAAACAATGAAACTAGAAAGATTAGTATCAATATGGCAATCATTCGATAATGAGGCTGCTAAGTTGGAAGATTGGGTTAATAATGGCGAAAGAGAAATTAATAAACAATTATTATCTCTATTAAATACTCCGCATGTAGACAAATTAGAAAAGGAATTAGTTAAATTGAAATCATTTAATAATGAAATATCACAACAACAAGCAAAATTAGTGTCGCTTGGTCAAATGTCGGATCAAATTGGTTTAAATTTAGCTCCGGAAGGTGCAGTAGCAGTCAAAGATCGCGTTAATGCAATGAAAGCAAAATTATCGCAATTGTCTGAAGCAACAAGAGGAAAAATTAATCAAGTTTCAGATTCAATAATTGCAAGGCAAGATTTTAATGCCAAATTGGCCAATTTCTCAAACTGGATGGATCATTTACGTGGCAATATCGCACAAGTTGATGAAATCAATCCAGAACGTGTTGAACCAGCTTTACATGTTATACATGCATTGTTACAAGAACATTCAGATAAAAAACCATATTTTAATGCAATTTACGATGAAGTAAAACAATTAAGTCTAAGTGCTGGACCAGAAGAAGCAGCAATCTTAAATGACTCATATACAACGCTCGTAACAAATTATCAAGATTTAGAAACAGATATGCAACAAAAGAAAGCAGCCCTAGAGAAATGGACTGAATTATTAGGTTGGAAAAATGAAACTGAGAATCATTTAAATCACTTAAAACTTCAATTGGAAAAACCAAGCCCACAAGAACTTGAAATAATTATCAATGAAATTGATGATGTTGCTAAATCTTTAGTATATTGGAAAAACCAGGCTAGGCAAATTGATGACAATCCAGCTGTACAATTGAAAGATTCTTTAACGAGAAAACCTCTTAGTGCAACGCTTATTGTCAACGATTTAGAAAACAAACTAGATAATCTAAAAATTAAATCTCAAAATCAGAAATCACAGTTGGCACAAATGAATGAACGCAAGAATAAATTCCAAACTTTGGAAGAACAATTCCAGAGAGAATTGAAAGTTAATTCTGACCACTTTAAAAACATATTAAGTCAAAAACCCAATATCGAAAACATAGATAAATTAATTGCTGATTTAATTCTCTTAAATGATTCTGTCCAAAGACAAGGTGATTTAAAAGCTAAAATTCATGATGAAGGTTCACTTTTAATGCGTGAAGATATTGCTAGTATGCCAGCAATACAAGAAGCTCTTTTAATTATTGATAAAAATTATGAAACTTTGCAATTGGATGTTAACGATCGCATTCAAAATTACCAGTTGATTAGTCAAGCTTTGAAAGAGTATGCTGACGTGAAAGATAAATTTGATAAGGAAATTCAAAAAACTGAAGATTTGTATTCTAAAATTCCAGCTCAACCTAGAGACGAAATGGAACTTCAGAAGGCAACCGAATTGACGAAAAAATCGATGGAACAAGTCCGTAAATCTAAGGCAAACTTAGATGAATTGGATCGTAAAGCAAATCATATTGCAAAATTATTCGATTCAATTAATGAAATTACTCCCAACGAAATAACATCCAGTCTTGAAGCAGCCAAAAAAAGATGGCAAGATATTCATGATAAAACTTCCAAAAATGTACATCAATATGAAACGGAAGCAATTATTTGGAGCCAAATAGATGATGCCAAGAGTGAACTAATCCCATGGCTTTCCGAAACAAATCAATCTTTATGTGATGCAGCTGATAATACAATAGAAATAGAATTTGGTCCAATGCGACTAAATAAATATAGGTCAGAATTACCGTCATATTCTACACTTAAAGACAATATTTTACAAAAATCCAAAGAACTAATTCAGATAAATAATGGAGCTGAAATACCTGCATTAAGTCAATTGAGTAGTTTACTTCAAGACCAATTCAGGGAAGTGGAGCAAAATGCTCAACGCTTAGAAAACATTGCTGCCACTTTCAATGAACAGGAACAAACTTTAAGACAAAAAATCAAAAATGCTGGCGAAAATGTAAATAAAATTCGTGAAGTTCTTATTAAATGTGATGATATGTCCGGTGATAATAATAAGATAATGGAAAGACTTCAAAACTGTCGCGCTATTAAAGAACAACTGGAAAATGTTGGAAATGATATCGAAAATTTACGAATTCGAGTTGATGAAATGAAATCTTTATACCCAACATTCTCTGAATCATTAATACCAAAAGAAATGATTAATGTTGAAAAGCGCTTTGAAGTTGTAGATCAATTTGCTAACAAAGTAGAAGGTTCCTTATTACAATTTCTTCGTAAATATCATACTGATAAAGTTGCAGCATTGAAGCGTCAATTAGCAATTCAAAAAGAAAAAGTTACTTGGTGTGAACCAGAGTCTTCTAGTGACAAATATAATTTAGATGTCAAACGATCTGCTCTACAAGAAGCAGAAAAGTCGATTGCTGATTGTGAAGCCAAGCGCGTTGAAATTGTGAACTCACTGAATTTGCTTGAAAAGGTTGAAACTCCTCAAGTTATACAGCCTTTAAAAGCAGAAGTCGAAAATATTAACAAGGAAATGGACAATTTAAAGGAAAATTGCAAGAAAATTAAACGCATTTTAGAGGAAAATGTTGACCTTTGGAATCAATATGAAACAATTAATGAAGAAATTTCTCAATGGTTAAGAGATCTCGAAGGAAAAATCAAACAAGAAACCAGCAATCAAATCAATATCGCTCATATTCCACAAAAATTACAAGAATTAGCACTTTTAGGTAAGAATATTAGTGATCACAAACCAAAGGTTGATCAACTCGAAAAATGCTCCAAACAATTGATTGAAAAGAATCCTGAAGCAAGAATCGGCCAATTCGTTAATCATTTATTACAAAGATATCAAGCATGTGCTAAAACTTTAGCCAATTATATGGATCGTGTTGAAAATGCTCAAAAGGCTAGTGAAAACTTTAATAAAGCTGTTAAAGACTGTTCAGATTGGTTAGCTGATACAAAAGTTGAATTTATTGAACTATCACGTATGGGATCACCTGGTTCATCTCAAGCTACAGCCCAGCAATTGAAAACAATTAAAGACTTTATTAAGACATTCGATAATGGACAAATGCTTCTTAATGAAGCGGTTGATATCGGGGAAGCCTTATATCCAATGGTTACTCCTGAAAATCGTGAAAAAATTCGTGCTGAATTAAGAAAACTTCGTGAAGAATTTGATTATTTACGCGATGAAGGCAATGCATTACTACAACAAACTGAGGCTGTTCTTATACAAAAAACCTCTGTTGAAGAAAGTTATACTCAAGTCTCACATTGGTTAAGTGAATCTAAGGCTAAAATTCCAGAATCATCAGAATTATATCCAACATTGGCTGCTAAAAAACAAGCTTTACAAAATTACAAAATACAGCAACAAGAAATCAATTTACATAAGAATGCTCTTAAACAGTTACAAGAAAAAGCCTCAAATCTCGATGACGACGAAAGTGAGCAGAAAGCTGCTGATTCTATCCAAGAATATGAGATTTTGGGGAAACGTGTCACAGAACGCATTGGCACTGTTCAAAATCAAGTAATGAATCATGAAACATATGATCAAATTTTGGAAAAAGCTCAAGATTGGTTGCATACATTGAAATCTGAAGCTATAGATATTCTTGATGAAACGACATTTGAAAAGGAAGGGGCAGAGGAAAAATTAATGATTGTAGAGAATTTAATACAACAAAAACCAGAAGGTGATTCTATATTTGATACTTGCCAAAAACAATTAAAAATTGTATTGGAGCAAACTCATAAAAATGGGCATCCTGCTTTACTGAAAAGTTTTCAAGAGCCGAAGAAATCGTGGGATGATTTTATGGCATTATGTGAAGATTCATTAGTAAAATTAAGGCAGCTTTGTAGTAAATGGGACGAATTTGAAACAGTTATTGATGGTATTGATATGTGGATGCGAAATATAGAAAGCGTTGTGAAAGATCAAAGTCTTAAAAACACAGCTGATGCCAAAGTCGCACATTTAAAAGTTCTTCAAGATATGAATAAAGAGATTGCTGATCGCGCTCCGGCTATTAATAATCTAATGGAGCAAGGCCGTGAAATTGAAGGTGAAACTGATCTAAATTTGAAGCTATCTAGAATTAATACGCGTTACCAAACTCTCAGAAATTCATGTAAGGAAGCAATTAATCGCTATGAGGTTTATGCTAAGGACCATAAAGCATTTAACACGGAATATGAAACATTTTGTAAAGAATTGCAAGCTAATGTTGAGGAATTAGCTAAAAATAATGAAATAGCTGGTGATTTAGATTTATTGCAACAACGACAAAATAAAATACGTGAAATGTCAGATAAACGTGTAAGTGATTCAACCGCCTTTGAAGCGTTAGTTGACCGTGGAGAAAAATTATATGCTCACACAAGTCCAGATGGTCGAGAAATTATAAGACAACAGTTACGAAACTTGCGTACGGCATGGGATAATTATACCGATGATTTGAATTCTGCTGGACAAAAACTTGATCACTGTTTATTACAATTTGGAGATTTCACGATGGCTCAGGAACAACTAACAAAATGGTTAAAAGATGTTGAGAAAGCTATGCAATCTCATACAGAATTAAAGACAACTTTACAAGAAAAACGAGCCCAGTTGCAAAATCATAAAATGATGCACCAAGAGATCATAACCCACAATGTATTAGTCGACAATGTTTGCGATAAAGCTCAATCATTAGTTGATCAAACTAAAGATACATCATTGAATGTGTACTTGCAATCTATTAAACAATTATTCCAGAATATTGTTAAGAAATCGCAAGAATTACTTGGTAATTTAGAAGATTGCGTTCAAGTACATAGTGATTTAAATAACATGCTTACTTCTGCCAAATCCTGGATATCAAGTGAAAAAGCCCAACTTTTAGATTGTGATGATACCTTCGGAGAAAAATCAGACATAAAACGTAAATTGGAGAAATTAGAGCAATTAGCTGGAAATAAATCAAATGGTCAGAAGATTATAAATGAAATAAAAGAACAATTTGAAAAAGTTAAAAAAGGAACTTCACCTAGAGGTAACGAAGTTTTAAGTAAGGAAATTGAGGAGCTTGAAACTACAATTAAGAGTCACTTTGACGATTTGGAAGGTATTGAAGGAAAACAAAAAGATGTACTTAATCAATGGAATAAATTTGAAAAACAACTTGATGAGTTAACTAAATGGTGCCGTTCAGCTGAATCAGTATTCCGTGAACAGCAACTGCAGTCAACTCTTGAAGAAAAAACCGCTCAACTTGAAAAATACAAAAAACAGCGTGACGAAATAATGCAAAAAGAAAAAGAAATAGATGCATTTGTAGATAGCGCTCATAATTTGCTTAACAGCAGTGGCGCTGATCGTATTAAAACATTAATTTCGCAAATAACAAATCGTTACCAACTGCTTCAAGTGTTAAGCAAAGAAGTTGTTAACCACTGGCAAAATCTTGTTGAAGATCATCAAAATTACAAAGACAAACTTAATGAAGTTGATTTATGGCTTGGGCAAATTGAAAATAATTTGCGGAAAGCGCTTAGTGATGAACAAACCGCAAATATTTTGCAAGTTCTTCTTTCTGATAAAGAGCAAGCCGAAGGACTTTTGGCTAACTTGAATTCTTTAGGCGAACGGGCTTTGCCTGAAACATCAACTCAAGGACGTGAAAAAATTCGTCAAGAACTTCGTGATATTCGTGATCGTTGGGATCGTTTGGAAGAAGGTATTAAAAGTTTACAGAAAAGACAAGAAGCTCAAACTATGCAATTGTCAAGTTACCAAGATATGTTTACGCAAATTTTGCAATGGCTTGATACAACTGAGAAAGCTCTTCAGAATGAATGTTCAAGTACTTGGACTTCAACACAAGAAATACGTTCCAAAATATTTAAATATAAGAGTACAATGCAAGATATTAACTCACACAAACGTATTATAGAAGCTCTTAACGAAAAAGCTAATTTACTTATAGAAAATGCTAATACCGTCCCAGCCAATACTAATGAAATACAAAAAAATATGAATGATGTAAATAACCGATATGATAGCGCAGTTGAACACTGCAATAAATTATTAAGTCAATTAGAAGAAGCTCTTGATGTTTATCAAACCTTCAATGATTTACAGAAAGCTCAACAAGACTATCAAAAGAACTTATGGGATCGTTTAACAGGTTATTCAGATTACTCTGGTAATAAAGTTGCACTTCAAGCTCGTTTAAATAAGGTCGAAGAAATTCAAGATTCGTTACCCGAAGGTGCTAACAAATTACAGAACCTTTCCGCACACATTAATACCAACGCTCATATTCTCCCACCGCGATCAAGAGAAGCCATGTCACGCGATTTAGCTAATTTAAATGCTGACTTCGAAAAATTCGCAGTTGCTTTATCCGACGTAAAAAGCGGTCTTGAAAACCGTTTACAACAGTGGAATGATTATGAACAAAACTTGGATCGTTTAATCAGTTGGCTAACCGAAGCTGAAAATAGTTTAAAGAACTATGGTCCAAAATCAACCTTAGAAGAAAAACAGGAACAGTTTGTAAAATTCCAGAACTTAATGCAGGTCTTACGTCAAAATGAAGCTGAATTTGATAAAATGAAAGACGAAACCTCCGAGTTAATTCAAAGTAGTGGAGAGACTCGTATTACTGTTAATGTACAACAAGTCACATCCAGATTTCAATCCATTCAGACGACTACAAGAGAAATATTGAAAAAATGTGAACAAGCAGTACAAGATCATCAACAATTCAATGAAAAATATAAGCAATGTGCTGATTGGATTGCAACTGCACAAATAAAATATCAAGTTTGCAGCGATCTAAGTACAATTGGATCAAGAGAAGATTTACTTAAAAAGCAGGCTGCTATTCAAGAATTACAAGCTCAGCAACCATCAGCTGCCTTGCTTCTTAATAATACCGTAGAATGTGGTGAGAAATGTTATCCAACAACCGCACCAGAAGGTCGTGAAACTATCCGCAATCAATTAGAGGAACTTCAACAAACATTTGATCAACTGTTTGATTATATCACAAGTGCTTCCAGATCAATCCAGGACAAAATGTCTAAATGGTCAGGTTTTGATGAAATTGCTGAAAATTTACAAAAATGGTTGCAATCTATCGAAAAACAATTACCCTCTGAAATAGAGTTAAAAACAACTTTAGATGAAAAACGTTCAAAATTACAGAACTACAGAGATGTTTTAAATGACATGCAAAACCATCAGCCAGAACTGGTTAACTTAAAAGATATTGCTGATAATCTGCCCGAAAAAACTGATTATGTTGATCAAAAGCTTAAAAACTTAACCGACCAATTTAATAAACTATTGAGTCGTGCCCAAAAATATGTCGAGAGATATGAAGCTATCGTTAGCGATCATCAAATGTATTGCAAAGCCGTTTTAGATACTCAAGAGTTTATTGAAGCTACACATAATACTGTTGATTTGTGGAGTGACTTAGACTTAGAACAAGTATCTTTACACACAAATTTGGAAAGATTGAAAAATCTTCAAAAAACACTGATCGATGAGCTCCCACGAGTTTCTCAAGTACGTGCTCTTGGTGAAAAAGTTATTCCAGGAACAGTTGAAGCTGGTCATATGAACATTAAATCACAAATTGATAACACTCAACAAGAGTGGGAGAGTCTATTGTCGTCTATAACTTCTGCTATTGATGCTATCAATAGTCGACTTCAACAATGGTCTGAATATGAAAGTCTCAAGGATCAATGCTTGGCTTGGATTAGAGATACAGATAATAAACTACATGCCATCGACTTAAAACCCAATTTGTCAGAGAAGAAGTCCCAACTTGAAACTCTAAAAGCCTTGCAAGGAGAAGTTAGGGCTAAAGAACTAGAAATTGATACAGTATCCGAAAAAGGTCAAGCTTTGCACAAGGGTCCTTCAAGCACAAGAACAGGAAATGTTTCCGAAATCGTACTCAAATATCAACAATTATCACATAAAGTAAAAGAGTTGAATAATAGGTGGGCTCAATATGTAGCTAGTCACCAAGAGTTTGATGGTCAAATCCAAGATTGCATTCAATGGATGGATAATATAAAACAAAAACTTGATTTCTGTTCTGATTTGAACACATCCAACGAAAAAGATTTAGAAGCGAAGCTTACAACAATTCAAGATTTAATTTTACAAAAAGATGACGGAACCCTTAAAATTCAAGCTTTAGTTGAGTTGGCCCAAACTGTTTTAGCTAATACAGCCCCAGCAGGTCACGAGCATATAAACAAACAATTAGCTAAACTTCAAGAAAATTGGTCAAATCTGGTTTTGAAAATGAACGATATTAAGTTAAGCCTTGATGATTCAATAAGTCAATTAGATGGTTACATGGATCAAGTGCAAGGTATTAAGAAAACAATTGATTGGCTAGAAAAAATGTTAAAAGAACTTTCTGAATTCCAAACTACAATGTCTGAAAAGAGATCTCAACTAGACCGTATAAGAAGTGTCGAAGAAAAAGTGCGTGTCGAAAAAATTGATGTAGATACATTAAGAGCACAAGCTAGAGAAATGCGAGGTCAACAAAGCCAAGCTGCTTTCCAATCTCAAAAATTATTAGATCGTTTTGATGAATTAGCTGATCGGACAAAAAAATTACTTGCTGAACGTGAAGAACAATATCGTGATCATAGATTATACAAAGAAGCATATGATGATTTGGTAAGTTGGATTAGCCGTGCTCGCGAAAAGTTCCCGTCTCTAAAACAAAGTAATTTGAGTGATAAATTAGCTATTGAGCAAGCAGTCCAAGCTACTGAAGGTTTATTAAACAAACAAGCTCAAGGTGAGCTTTTAGTTGAACATTTGGTTCACACCGGTGAGGTTGTTTTGGCAAGTACAAGTCCACAGGGTCAAGAAATTATCCGAAATGATATTCGATCACTTCGCGAAAGCTTCGAAAACCTTTTCAGAGAAATTATTCAACAAAAAGAGCAACTTGAAGTTACAATGTTGCAATGGCGTGACTATAAGGAAGAATACGAACGCCTTATGGAATGGCTTAAACAAATTGAAATCATGGTTAAAAATCACAAGTTGAATGTGAGAAATATTCCAGAAAAACAAAAACAAGTTGATGAAATGCGAGATATTTGTAAACGTTTGGAGACTGGAAAACGTGACATTGATAAATTTAATCAAAATGCTGCTGGTCTTTTGAAGTCACACTTGGATACTTATGTTAACAATCAGTTAAGAGTTTTGAACTCAATGTATCAAGTACAAGTAAACATGGCAAAAGACGTTTTGAAAAAAGTTGAAACAAATTTAGATCAACACAAAGAGTTTGAAAATAATTTGCAAACTGCTCATGCTTGGATAGGAAATGCTAAAGAAATTATTCGAGAAAGTAGTGAACCATCAAATTCCAAAGAAATACTTCAAGGACGCCTTGCCAAAATTCAAGATTTAATTCGTAATCGTGAAGAAGGTCAAAACCTGGTTAATTTAACTATTAATAACGGCGAAAAGGTACTACGTAATACGCATTCAGACGGCCGGGACATTGTTAATACTCAAATGAAAGAGCTTCAAACTGATTGGGACCGATTAGTTAAAAAATTGTCTACTGCTAAAGTTCATTTGGAGACTGCACTATTGCAATGGGCCGATTATTCTTCAAGTTACGATCAATTACAGCAATGGATTCAAGATCGTGAAGCTAAACTACAAGAAGTTCAAGAACAAAAAATTGTTAAAGCTAAAGGCCAACCTGGTTTAAGCTCCGGCTTGAACGAGCGTAGAGCTAATTTGAGACAAACAAATAATATTGTCCAAGACATTGTTTCTTTTGAACCTATGATTCAATCAGTTACTTCTAAAGCTTCTGATTTACAACAAGGGGCACCAGCAACAGAAATTTCTAGCAAATACGAAAACTTAACAAAACAAGCTAAAGAAATATACGACAAGCAAAAGAATACTGTTGAGCATTACCAAGCTCTTATTGACGCTGGTAACGAATTTGCTGTATGGCTGCGTAACTCTAAAGAACGACTAAGTAAATGTGCTGAACCAACCGGCGACAAGGAAGCGTTAGCAAGTAAAACTCATCAGTTAAAAATACTTGAAAGTGAAGTTCCAGAAGGTCGCAAAAAACTGGATGCCGCCTTACAGCAAGGGGAAATCGCTTGTCGTACTGCTGAACCAGAAGATAAAGAAATTATTGAGGAAGAAGTTGCCCTATTACAAGAAGAATTTGATAACTATCTAGAAGCTCTTAAGAAAGCTAAAGAATATTTAGAAGTTGGTATTGTAAAGTGGACAGATTATCAAGATCAATATAATGAAGCACTGGACTGGCTTAATAAGACAGAAGCTTTGGTGCAATCGTACAATAAGTTACAAGATAGTTTAACCCAAAAGAAAAACGTATTAGAAGAATTCCAAGGCCATTTGCAAACATTATTTGATTGGCAAAAGGAATTGGATCGCTTGAATGTCAAAGCTCAAATTTTATTGGAAACTTGTGCTGATACAAGAATTTCAAATGCTATAACCCAATTGACTACAAAATATAACGCTTTACTCACTATGGCAAAGGAAGTAATGCGTCGTTTAGAAATGCACTACCAAGAACACCAACAACATCATTCTTTGTATGAAGAATGCCAAGCATGGATTGAAAAAACTCGTGAAAAATTGGCAGAATGCCGTGTCATACCCAGTACACTTAATGAAATTCAAATCAAATTAAACACAGTTAAGAATTTGCGTCAAGGTTTCGAACAAGGGCAAAATAAACTACGTTATTTGTTAGAACTTAAAGAAAAGGTAATTATGAATACAGAGATCAATGGTGCTGCCAAAATACAAGAAGATAGTGAATTATTAAAACAAGATTTCGAAAAGTTATTAGGTGAAATGAATGACATTAAATTGGCATTAACCAATCGTGCTGCACAATTGGAAGAAATCTCTAAAGTTTATAAAATCCTTATTGAATGGTTAGAAGAAGTTGAACCAAATGTTAAAGATAGTGCAGATTTTTTGAATGACTTAAGTGAAAAACGTGCTGCATTAGAAAAATATCGTGGCATACAACGTGATATCAATTCTCATAGTGACATTGTTGAGAAAATAAATCAACGTTTAAATGAAGATAAAAGCCTAGATCGTAGTGACTTTGCGGATGGCCTTAATCGTTTTGATCGTATTCAAGAACTAGTAGGTAAACAAATTGAAAACTTAGAGAATCAAGTTAATAATCATGACAAGTATAAACAAGCTTATAATGAAATTAATGATTGGTTAAGACGTGTACGTATTGAAATTGAAACTTGTTCAGATTCACATGGTGAAAAAGATAGTCTTCTCGAAAAATTAAATAAATTACGTGATATAGACGCTAATATGAGCGACGGTGAAAAATTATTACAAAATTGTGAAAACTTAAGCAAAACTGTAATTGACACCAGCGGAAATGAAGGGAAAGATACTGTAAGACAAGAAATTAAACATTTGAAATCGGAATGGGATCATTTACAAGCTATGTCACGTGAAGCTCAAAATAATTTGGAAACATGCTTATCAGCATGGAACAATTTCCTAAGTAAATATAGTAGAATAAACCAATGGATACTAGATATGACCAAACGAGTACAACTAGCTACCGAATCTGACAATAAGAACCCAGATGATTTAGAAAAGGCTAAGGTAAGATTTTTATTATTACGTAATTATTAACTTTTTTTTTAATAGATAAGAGTAATACAAAATTCATCGCGATTTACAATTACAAAATAAACATTAAAATAAAACATTACAACCAATCATAAAGAAGCTCGTCTTTCGTCTACATTCAAAATAATTTTATCAAAATGCTGGTAATGTTAATTTTTTTTTGCAAATAATTTCCAAAAGCTCCTTCTCATATAACATTTGGAAACTGTAGTGCTCATTTGTTTTTTTTTTGTATATATAGAAAAATTTTTATTTTAGATCGTTTGGTTTTAGTTAATGTGTTGCTCATGTTTTAAAGCGTTTTTTTTTCTTGTTTTTAAATTTTATTTAATTTTTTAATTCATGCTAATAAATTGATTAATTAATTTTAGAAAATTCTTGAAGAAGTACAAGCTGAAAAAGATTCAGTTGAAGATCTAAATGACGCCTGTGAAACATTAATGGAACATAGCGCTTGTTCTAGAATTCGCGATCAAACAGTTCAAATTCAAGCTGATTACACAAAATTATTAACATTAGTTCAAAGTAAGTTTCAGTACTTTCTTAATTTAATAACTTATTTTTAAAGCGAAACTAATCCAAAAATAATTTGAAATTTCTATTTTAAAAGGTCTGGTATCTAAAATTGAAAAGAATTTATCTGATCATACTGAATTCTTAAACTATAAGAGTGAAATGGATAAATGGATTAAAAGAGCCAATGATATTTTGGACGAGTGTACTGGTGAAGGTGATCTACATGCTATATCTCATCAAGTAGAGACTATCAATGTAAATTATTTGATAAATTAATTGACTTTTTCAAACACTAAATTCTAAACTTTTATTTATAGTCGTTAAGTTCTCGTTTACCGGAAGGACAACATTTACTTAATATGGTACAAGATGCATATACAAAAGCATTAAATGTAACACCCCTTAATAAACAAGATTCATTACGTGATTTAATGACAAAATGTCGCGAAAATTGGGATGCACTTAATATTGCAGTTAAACAAAAATTGACTGATTTGAAACAAATACAAAATCGTTATAATGAACTTAATGCAAATAAAAATCGCATTGAAAAATGGCTAATTGAAACCGAAAGAGTTATTGCCGAACCAGCTGATACAAAGGGTGAATTAAGTGAAATGAAAACCTTGTTGGAGCGCTTCAAAAATTTGTCGAACGAAATCGCACAAAAAGGCCCCGAATTATCTAATTTAGGTAAAGAAGCACATGAATTAGGTACCGAAGTTGATGAAATAAGACGTTTACAAGTCAAATGGGAAAAAGTAAATAATGATTGTGATTCACGTATACGATCAATTGAAAATGAAATTAATGACTATAATGCATACCATCAATGTTTACAAGATGTTGAAAAATGGTTGTTACAAATTTCATTCCAATTAATGGCTCACAATTCATTATTTATATCGAATCGTGAACAAACTCAAGAACAAATTAATCAACATGAACAATTATTGGATGAAATACAGCGTTATCAATCGAATTTAGATGATTTAAATTCAAAAGGACAAGGACAAATTGATCGCTATTCTCCTAAAACACCAAGTATTCGAGATACAATTGAAACGCAATTAAAAAATATACAAGACAGTTATAATTCATTGCTGCAAACATCAATACAAATAAAGAATCGTTTACAAGAATCATTGGCTAAATTCCAAGAATATGAAGACACATTGGATAGTATAATGAGAAATTTGAATGAATGTGAACCAATTATACAAAATGAATTGGATAAACCAGCTATGAATTTAGAAACAGCACAGAATCAATTAAAATTAGCTCAGGTACATAGAATGTTTTTTATCTAATATTTTAATAGTATTAATAACACGTAATTAATAAACAATTATGTTATTAAAAATATTTGTAACCACAATTTTTTTAGAATCTTCATAATAAATTACAAAATGAGAAGTCACGTTTAGCACAAGCTGTACAAGCATGTGAAGCAGCAACTGCTTCAATAAGTAGGCCAAGTTCACCATTAGAAACAGCAATGCAACCCATACCTGAACGTGAACTGGTCGTACGTGCTAAGTTAGAAGACTTAATTGATCAGGTAATTTTCTGCTACTAAGTTAACAATATTTTCTAACTTGTATTTAAAAATTTTCCTATATTTTATAATTAAATTTTTATTAAAATGCATGCCTTTATCCTTACTGTTTTATTATATAAGGTTTTCTTTCTCTATTTGTGCTTTTATTTTGTTATATTCAAAATTTTATGCAGATTCTAATTTGTAGGAGAATGTTCTATAAAGACAAGAGTGCAATTTATGGGCTCACTTAACTAAAACTTTTGTTATTTTTTTATATTTTTTATAAGTAAATCTTTTTTTTTGTATCAAAAAAAACTTTAGTAATATAATATATGTATGTATATGATATGTATATGTATGTATAAAGATATACATACTATATAGATATACACATAATAATATTTAAAAATATTTAAATGTTTTATATAAAACAAAAAAAAATAAAATATGTAGCTATGACTTAATTTAAAAAGAATTTTTTTTCTGTTCTGAATTCTAACTTGATTTTTTCGATAGCTTCCTTTTATTTCTATTAATTTTTAATTATTTATTAATTCTCTTAAGTATTTTCTTTTATGTTTGTTATGTTTGATTAAACCAAAACTCAATTTAAACACAAGTACAGCTTATTTTTTAAATTTTCTGATAACTTATGTTGTAGAATGTAAATTTGCACTTTATAAATGTTATTATTAATTTTAATTAATAATGAAATTTATGAATTAAAATTTTACTGATCATATAAATTGCTGTGAGTTACTCATGCTTTGAGGTACTTTTTTTTTATTTGTTAATGACCCCGTTTAAAGAAGTTATTCTGTGATGATCACTTTCACAACATATTCGAAACAATTAGTTTTATTTTTTTTTTGTAAAGCGCATTGTAAAATAATATGAAAGAAATGTTGATATTAAAAAGTTGACACCTCTTGGTGAAACTTATACTTAGTAGAATCCAGATAAAATAACCAAGATATAAAACAAAGCTGGGACAATTCTAAAAACTATTTTTTTTAGTCAAATCGAATAAGTTATTCAAAGGTTAATTTATGTCTTTACTTCCCACTCATAATTAATTCTAATATAATATACTAAGGGGTGTACCCAACTTTACTTATTTTTAAATTCAGTTTTGGAAATTTTCTTATTTAATTATAAATTTAATTTTTACTCTAATTTGCTTTATTATAAATTATTTTTTCTTTTTAATTTCTTTTTTTAATTTTTTTTTTTCATTTTTCCAATAACCCTAAATTCAAATTAACAAAATATCCTTTTTATTTTGATTTTTGGATTTTGAAATTTTTTGGAAAATAACTTGAACTTTACTACCACATTTATATTTTCAACTGCAATAATTTTTGTTTTGGCAATTGCACTTAAAATGCACTTAATTTTAATAATATTGCAAAATTCGCTTAAAATTGTGTACAAATATATTTGTGTACGGATGTGTAAATTAATAAATTTACAAACATGTTACATAAAATTATTTGTTCACGATAACACAAAAATAGCGCACCAGCACCGAACATGAAGATATAATGGATGGCTTTAGTTTCCAACGCATTGAAAATTTTAAGCACATCTTGCATAAAATTAATAAAAAAAATGGAATATATGATAAATTTTTTGTTTTAATTACTAAGGTAAGTTTTTTTTTTTTATATAAATAAATCACAATTACTTATTTAGAAAAAAAAAAAACAAAAAAACTGAAAAAAAAAATGCTTGGTGGTGGTTCACATTCAAAACTTGCTTCAAAAAAAATGTAAGCTATCGGCTTTGCTTAAATTAAAAGTAGTTTAATAACAAAAGTTTTATTACTTTAAAATTTACTAGACTGAATTTCCGTCCTTGTTGTCTATATTTCAAATTTATAGCTTTTTATTAAAAATTTTAGGTACAATCCCATTTGGGTGGATTGGTAGCAACTGTTAGTGAATTAGAACAACAACAAAAACAGAGAGCTGAACTCCAAGATTGGATTAAAAAGCAACAAGGTTCAATAGCTGATTGGTTATCAAGACCATGTAAACTTCGTCCAGAAGCAGCCAAGCAAGAATTGGCAACTATGAACGATCTTCTTAATACTATTGGAGATAGACGTAATCAATTGTTAACTGATATGACTGGATCATGTAAGTTATTTTTCATAGCAGATAAAAGGTAATTTTAAATACTTATCATCTAAATTTTTTAGTTGCTGATGAAGATACAACAGATCTAGAAGACAGCTTAGACCAATTGGAAAGCCAGTTGATGGATGCTATCACTAAAAAACAATGTGGACAAGATACAATTGAAAATTACCGTCAATCTATGCAAGATATGCAAAATTGGTTTGATAATTTAATTAAACGTATGGATGTTCTTGATAAAGGTAGCGGTTTAAATTGTGCACAAAAATTAGCCGCCATTGTCACCATTAAAAATGAATTTGAAAAAGATGGACCTAAAAAACTTGGTGAACTAAAGAATAAAGCATCTCAAGTTGCTGAAATTATCAGTAATTTAGATGGCCAACAAGTTGAAGAACAAATGAAATCAGTTGAAAGGCGTTACAACGATTTAGGAAAACGTATTGATCGTAAAGCTCAATTACTTGATGTTACAAACAAAGGTATTGAAGCTGCTAAATCTGAAATCGATCAAGTTCAAAATTGGGTTAAAGAAAAATTAGTTGAACTACAATCGCCACCACCAATTGGCTATGAAGTTAAATCAGCTGAAGCACGCCAACAACAAATTAAAGGAATGATGAAAGACGCTGAAGCAAAGCAATCTCTAGCTGAAACATTGGAGAAACGTGTCAATAATATGCAACATGAACTTGAACCAGTTGAACATTCACAATTAGAAAGTGCGTTAAGAAATTTGAATTCAGATCAAAAGAATCTTTCTGAAGCTCTTAAAACTGAAATGCAAAGAGCATTAGATGCTGCTAAAGCCAGAAAATCTTTAGAATCTGATTTAGAAAAGGCCAGAGCATGGATCAAAAATAAATTATCTGATGCCAGAAAACAAACTGGTCACCAACCGTTGACTTCTGCAGCTGTTGAGAAAGAAATTGCTCTTAATAAAAAGTTCGATGATGATGCAAAGCATTTTAATGAAGGAATGTTATCAAATGTCTTAAGGCAAGCTGATCACATAATGAAAGATTGTCCACCGGAAGACAAAACCAGACTACAAAAAATTTTAGATGAAATTAATGCAGACTATGCAGCTTTAAAAGATGAAAATGCTAAAAAACAAAAGGCGTTACAGGATTTGTTAGTTGGTAGGAAGAAGTTTGAAGATGATATTAAACGTATGGGTGATTGGTTAAACGAAGCTGAAGCTTCAATAGCAGGTGAAATTCGTACATCCAATCTTCCAACTTTAGAAGAACAGCTAATCAGATATAAAAAATTAGCCGACTCTGCTAAAGAAATTGGCGGTTTAATGCTTGATATTACTGAACAAGGTAAAGGTATTAACCCAAGTTTAAGCAATCCAGATAAATTAAAATTAGCGGAAGATATCAAAAACTTAAAAGATAAGCATTCTAAAATTACACAAAATATCAATGATAGATTGAAACAACTTGAGGATCATATAAAGAAATATAAAGATAGCAAAGCTAAATTGGCCGAATGTATCGCTTTCTTGAATTCAATTCAACAACGTCTGCGCGATTTGAATAGACCCATAGGCAGAAATATTGAAGACGTTCAGGAGATGTTGGGTGCTTATGAGAAAATTCTCAAAGAACTCAGGGATTCTAAACGTCGTATGGGTGATTTACAAGTCGATGATTTGCCAGAATTACAAAGTATATTGGCACAGCAAGATGATATGATTAAATTAATTGAAGATCAATTAGCTCATTTAAGGCAATTGCTATTATTACGTGAACAATATATTGCATTAATTAATCAAATCACTGCTTTTATTATTAAATATACTGACGTTGTTACAGAAATTGAAAAATCACCAGAAAGCTTAGAAGACAAAATTCGGCAATATGATGATGTTATTTTACGTATTCAGGAATGTGAAGGTTTATTGGCTACAGCAACCGATAAAGGGCAAAAAATCGCTTCTGAGGGTACTGCAGCTGATAGAAATAGTATTACTGAACAACTGCAATCACTTAAAAATCAATTGCAGAATTTACGTAAAACAGTTGAAGATCAAAAACAAAAACATGAAATTCAATTGGAACATCATAAGAAAATTGCAGCTTTGCTATCTGAAATATTAGATTGGTTACATGCAAATGAAGGTGAAGTTAAATCACGGCCATTACTGGATCGGGATCCAGATTCCGTTGAACGTGAAATTCAAAAACATAAGAATTTAGCAGATCAAGTCCTTGACAAATTAGGTAAAGTTAAAAGCTTCAGCGAACAAATTAATTCTGAAAAAGCTGTACCAAGTGCTTTACTCGAAATGATATCCGTGGGTAGATCATTCTTATCTACAATGCCAGCTGAATTGGAAGATCGCGAAAAATATTTAATAAATAACAAGAAATCACGTTTAGAATACATGAATTTGGTAGCGAAATTTAATGCATGGGTACATGAAGCGGAAACGAAATTACAGAATAGTCAACATGGTATTGATTATGAAAATATTATGAGAGATTTAGAAGATCATAAGAAATTCTTTGGTAATGATGCCGGAGTTAAAGATCTTGTTAATCGTAAAATACGTGAAGCTGCCGATAAAATATGGCCGTCATTACAAAATTATGAACAAGATGAATTGTCACGGGAAATGCAAATGCTTCAAGATGCATTAGTTAATATACTGAGCTCCGCTAAAGGGCAGCAACAATCATTAGAAAAGGAAGTTGAAAATTGGAAAGAATACAAAAACTTTTGTGAGAGGGTTAAAAGCAATATTGAAAGAACTAAATTCGATGATGAACCAGTACAAAATTTGGCTGGATTACATTTCAACATACAGAAGATTAGCCATGCCCTAGGCAATATCCAGGTGAGTGTGTCTTTTATTATATAGATATATTTAGATTATATGTATATTTTTTATTATATAGATATATATAGATTATATGTATATTTTTTATTATATATAATAGATTATATATTTTTTGTAAAATTTATTAAATATTAACTGATTGCAAAGAAATAAACAATATTGCAGCAAAATTAGAAAAAATTATGAAACAATTACAATTGAACAACCTCATTGGTTGTTTAATTGTGATGATTACTAAAAATGATATTAATGTCTACTAATTAGGAATTTACTACAGAAAGCAATTTTTATTTAATTTAAAAATTAAAGCAACTGTTCGAGTAGGAAAACATACAAGTATTAGAAAATCTTTTCTTTAAATTGAATAAAAAATTTCTATTTAATAATTCAGGAAGTGATGTTGATATTTTTCACAAAGAACCCCATAATATTAGTGCAAACACAAAACTATTGAGCCAAATGTTTTTGAAACTACGATAAATATCATCTTTTCGTAATATAACATGGACCTCGTTCCTTTAGATTCTAATTTTTTTTTTATTTTGAATGTTAACTTTACTTAAAACTTACGATACGTTTGTTTACGTTAGTTTACGATACTTGTTAATAATTTAAACTATCAAAACCAACTTAAATATTTTTGCAAATAAATAATCAAAAACGCGAATCTCAAGTTTTTTGTCTTTCTTTCTCTCTCTCATTCTTGTCTGTTTTGCTTTCTATTCGTTCAAATTTTAATTGAGCAAAAAAGTTGAGTAAAATTATTAAAAGTTTTACACCTATTAAATAAAAGCTGTCTCTTTTCTCTCACCTGTCTATAAATCTTAAGCTCATCTACTCTAATTTATTTAAACAGTAAAAAATATTTTAAAAAAAGAAATTGTACAATTCAAAAAGTATGTACATATTTAATTGCATGTTTTTTGAGAATTTTCAACAAAGTTTTCATTGCATGTATAACTTGTTTTGTATGTAATCAAAACTTATATATGTTAATATAAAGCGTACATGATACATTTAGAATTGAATATGAGTAAAATTAAATTTTGAAATATCATCAAGAATATGATTTTATTTTTGGAAAAAGGTTAAATTTCTTATTATGCTTGCTTTAAATTGTTGAAAATGTATTAAAGTCGCTAATACAACGATATAACGAAAAGGGTTCCAGTAGAGATATCAAGAAAAATAACGAAGTAAGCAAAATGTAGATCATGTGGCTTGTTAGTTTATTAGTTACTTTATACTTATATTCATTTGGACTGCTATTTTCTAAATAATAAAATAAATTTAAAAATCTCTTTTTCAATTAAATTAAATTGAATATTAAAAAAACATTTATAAAAAATAAAACTAAATTTTTTTTTAAATCACTTGTTTTTATATCAAATATATCTCCTCGTTCTCTTAATGTCATGGTATTATTGAAGATACTCACTCAAACAAGTGAAAAATAGCTTTTGATTTAAGCTTTATTAATGAATATTTTTTTTACATTTTTAACTTTAATATTAAAAAATAGTAGAAAAACGTGGTTTTTTACTGGGTAAATAAAATTATATTGGTAATGATAGTGTGTTGTATTGTACTAGCTAATGTGTATATCTACAGACCTATACTATACAACGATATGTTTTGTAAATGTTGAGTAAATTTTTCTTTCTATTTCTTTTTGTTTTTTAATATTGTATAATAAAACAATAATAAATTCTTACTCGGGCTTATTTAAGCTATGACATCATACTGATTACTATTTTGATTATGATTTCACTTATTTTTTTCGCTTTTAACAATGAACAAGTTGTGAAATATTTATTTTTAGAATAAAAACTTTAAACGAATTTTAAATTATTTTATTATTTTTTTTGTTTTATATTCAATTGAAAGAAAAATTTTCCTAAAAAACCGCTTTTGTAATTATTTTGGACAAATTTTTTAATAGATATTCGCACATTTAATAATACTTTTAGGTTTACAAAAGTAAACCTAAAAGTATGACTATTAAGCTAAATAATCATAAGTTAATTTTTTGTAAAGCGAATAGTAATTTGATTTATTTAAACATTTGTTTTTACTTTGGCTTATTCTAACTATCGAATCGCTGATTTGCATATAGTGATATTTAACGTAAGAGTTTCAAAAACTTTATTATAGACACGAGTCACGAGTCATATGAACACGTTTCTGTTTCAGATAATAATATAATTTCGAGCTTTTTACAATAATAATATCATTTTCACTTAATAATTCGATAGACAGAATAAGGCCAAAGCATGCATCACTATGAAACATGAATGTTTTTTTTTTTAGTTAATTTTGATCGAATAAAACAAAATTAATTTAAAATTGATGGAACTAGTATTAACGAACATATCATTAATCTCTGACGTCTTCTCTGAGTTAGACGTCTCTGAAATCGGTTACAATTCATTTGAAACTGCTTAAAACGTGGAAATCTACATACCTTATTCCATTGTATCTCTTCTATAAACTCAAATATAGGAGGAATAGAAAATTTTATATGAAATGTATATACATATATATCTAAATGTCACTGTAATAGAAAATCTTTATAGACATAACAGTTAAAATTGATTTAACGGATAAAATCGATTCTGAATCTAAAAAAATAGAAAATTTTTCAAAAAATCCTTCAGGAAAAAAAATGAATCAAAACCTACACCAATTTTTTACATTATATTGGAGTCGTATTACAGATTTCAATAGATCCTTTAATTAACAAAATGGAATTTTATGTACATATATGTAAATATATAACAACTTATTTAACATTGTTCATGAATGTTAAAAAAAATGTAATATATATTATGCATTTATATTAATAGACTTACATACGTATATTGTGTTTATTATTACACCTACACACATGAAATGTAGACGCAAAGCTTTTCAGGTCTCCTTTTTTCACTTAAAAAGATCTAATTCTATTATATAAGTATATTTTTCTATTATCTTATCAGTTTTAAACAGAATCTTAATGTATTAAGAATATAAAAGAAAAAAAAAATAAGCAAAATATTAAAATTAAAAAAAGGATAAAACAATCAGATTTAATAAAATAAGTTTGCACATCTACATTAACCCTATTGTTATTCCATTAATTTTTATAAAGATATTTTTTTTTGCAACACAAAACCGACGTCATTTTAACCTTATGTGCATAAATATTCTTCCATACAATTCTTTGATTACGCGCAATAACGCAAAAAGGATTTCTTATTTTACTTATAAACAGTTATTAGGTATTTGTATTTGTATAAATATAAATATAAATAGTTAAGATCTTACACCATATGCATTTATGTATATTTTAGTACAGAAGATTATCGAATCGAAACGTGGTAATATAACTTCACTGCGTTCACATTATTTGATTTATTTTTTTTTTCTTAGGATGACAATTTAATAAAAAATTATTTCGCATGAGAAGTTTTCAATTTAAGTTTACTGTGCGTATTTTAAGAAAGTTTGTTAGTAGAACTATGTATATCGCATATTCATTGATACTAAACATAATAAATAATATACATTATATATATATATATGTTTTAGATGCACACTTAGCGGATAGATTAGGGACTTAAACGTAATAAATAAAACGTAATTTAAATGGAATTACCCAGAAGCCAGGCATCATCTGTTTTCATGGCTGTATGATATTAAACGTAAAATATTGTACAATTGATTTTGATTTTGCGCTGTTATTTTGGGTTACCAACGGAAATTGTTCACCATTGTCATTTATGTCATTTACTACTTTAGTTGTGTTCTTACAATTAATCTAAATTGTTAGTAATAGTTGTAATACGGGTGCTCTTTTTCCTCCTGAACTTTCGCTTTATTAAAAAACTACAAATCGATATATAGCAATAAGCAATGAAAACTTTTAAGCTGATGCCCTTTAGAAGCCTCGATTTTAATATTAACAAAATTCATTTCCATTTCAATTTTACGTTGAAAAAATTATTTTTTTTTCACAACATACATTAAAAAATGTACAATTAATGGTTTGTACATAATGTACGTACTTATAACAATACTTATATATTTATACTTTTAAAAATTAAATACTTAGTTATATAAATAAATAAGTACTTGCCAAAACATATGTAAACATATTAATATTTATAATTCTATTTAATTTTACAATAATAAACGATAAATTTGTTAATAAAAATTTATATAAATTTAAATTACCAAGAAAACAAAATTAATTTCGTGAATATTTTTTCAAGTTCATTTACTCAATATGAATCAACAAACCTTCAATTTAAATTTTTACAATAATATAAATAATATTTTTACATATGGATGTATGTATTTACGCGAATTATATACATATTATGTATACTTATACGTGCTTGTATTTATTTATGTAGAAAATACAGATACATTATAATATTTATTTTGAGTATTATTTTTTATTAAATTTTATTTAAAAAGTTAGGTTAGAGTCACGATTTGCGACATTTCAAAAATATTTCATTAAATTTTATTCAGAGACAAGAATTTTTTGTTGAGCAACCCAAAGAGAAAATTGTGAATTAGGTATTCCTCTAAAATTGAGAAGTAATGTATATGTACATAAATTGTATTTTGAATGAGTAAAAGATTAAGAAATTGTAAATATGTAATGTAAAATTTGGATTGACATGTTTGTATAGTTTAATAGTGAGCAAGCGTTAAAGTTCATATGATTTCAATTTTGTTTGACAGAATGTGGAAAACATTAAATAGAAATATTTGACTTTAGTAATTAAAAAAAAATGGTTAATTTGAAATTAAAATTTAGTAGTAAATAAATTAAATCATTAATATTTAATTATTATTATATAATATACTATAAAATTTAGGATAAACATAAAAATTAAAAAAATCTTAAATTAAATGTGATACCTTAACATGACCTGACCGAAGTTTTATTTTCATAGTACCATAGAGAGGCTCCTACATAGAAAATTTTATACGCAAGTATA